CTGTGGCTGCTGCAGAAGGCGTGGTGGTGGATGTCAGGGGACGGCGGCGTCACCCTCAACGACGCCATTCTCTACAGCTGGGGCGTCATGATGCAGGACCCGCCAACTCATCCTCCTAGTAGCTTCACGGGGCGCGTAAGTGACTTCCTACGATGTTTTAATGAGGTCTTTGTTAAGTGTAGAGTGCGTTTTGTAAAGTGTCTGGTGCTCTCTCACTCTCCCACAGGTATTAGTGGGATGGTGGTTGGTGTTCTGCCTGGTTATCGCTACAGCCTACCGCTCCTCACTGGTCGCTCACCTCACCGTGCAGAGTATGATGCCCGCCATCAACTCCTTCCAGGACCTGTTGGACCAAGACGGCTGGACCTGGGGTATAGCTAGCCTGGGGGGAACTATCAACATGTACTTCTCCAATTCTCCTGACCCTGTTACCTTAGGGGTGTACAGGCACATGAAGGTAAGTACATCACCCTGTGCGTCACTATAATAATAATAATAATAATAATTAACAGTTTATTGAAAAAATTCTGCAGCCCGAAGGCTGAAAATATACATTAGACATAAATGACTTATTACATACATTGGTGGTTTAACAAAAGCCTTCATTAGAGAAAGGTAAAGGAACATACAGTGAACATACAGATTAATGTAGGTGTTGAACAGCAAACTCGTAGTGTAGTAACTCCCTCCCAGATGGTGTTAGGAGGAACTCACGTGGTATAGTAGTTCCCTCAGATGTTGTTATGAGGGACCTGGCGTGGTGTAGTAATTCCCTCACAGATGATGTGATGAGGGACCTCACGTGGTGTAGTAATTCCCTCGCTGATGGTGTTATGAGGGGCCTCACGTGGTGTAGTAATTACCTCACAGATGGTGTTATGAGGGACCTCACGTGGTGTAGTAATTCCCTCACAGATGGTGTGATGAGGGACTTGACGTGGTGTAGTAATTCCCTCACATATGGTGTTATGAGGGACATGTGGTGTAGTAATTCCCTCACAGATGGTGTTATATGAGTGAGGTTTGGTCCCTGGCCTTCCTATCGTAGACGGATTAACACATCGGTGGTTGTTGTTGGGTCTCGCGGGGGCCGTTATCACTGGGTACCTGGGACCTCACTGTGTGAAGGTTAACTTGGGTGCGACTGTTACTGTTGAGTTGTTCTCACTGACTTAAGCACTGTTCACCACCGTTCACCTCGGTTTAACACTGGTTCCGTTCCTTTCTTAAATGAAATTGTAACTTCTGGCGAGAACTTGTTGATATTCCGGTGGGGAGGAGGGTTCAGGGGAGGGGGTTGGTATGGGCCAACTTAACAGTTGACCTGGCTGCTCCGAGAGGAGCGCCAGGTACGTCTTGACCCTTCGGTGGTCAAGGATGTAGTGTTACCTTAGGGGTGTACAGGCACATGAAGGTAAGTACATCACCCCGTGCTTCACTATCTGTTACCTTAGGGATGTACTGGCACATGAAGGTAAGTACATCACCCTGTGCTTCACTATCTGTTACCTTAGGGGTGTACAGGCACATGAAGGTAAGTACATCACCCTGTGCTTCACTATCTGTTACCTTAGGGGTGTACTGGCACATGAAGGTAAGTACATCACCCTGTGCTTCACTATCTGTTACCTTAGGGTGCACAGGCACATGAAGGTAAGTACATCACCCTGTGCTTCACTATCTGTTACCTTAGGGGTGTACAGGCACATGAAGGTAAGTACATCACCCTGTGCTTCACTATCTGTTACCTTAGGGGTGTACAGGCACATGAAGGTGAGTACATCACCCTGTGCTTCACTATCTGTTACCTTAGGTGTACAGGCACATGAAGGTAAGTACATCACCCTGTGCTTCACTATCTGTTACCTTGAGGGTGTACACTGGCACATGAAGGTAAGTACATCACCCTGTGCTTCACTATCTGTTACCTTAGGGTGTACAGGCACATGAAGGTAAGTACATCACCCTGTGCTTCACTATCTGTTACCTTAGGGGTGTACAGGCACATGAAGGTAAGTACATCACCCTGTGCGTCACTATCTGTTACCTTAGGTGTACAGGCACATGAAGGTAGTACATCACCCCACTATCTGTTACCTTAGGGGTGGCACATGAAGGTGAGTACATCACCCCGTGCTTCACTATCTGTTACCTTTAGGGGTGTACAGGCACATGAAGGTAAGTACATCACCCTGTGCTTCACTATCTGTTACCTTAGGGGTGTGCTGCACATGAAGGTAAGTACATCACACCTGTGCTTCACTATCTGTTACCTTAGGGTGTACTGGCACATGAAGGTACATCACCCTGTGCTTCACTATCTGTTACCTTAGGGGTGTACTGGCACATGAAGGTAAGTACATCACCCTGTGCTTCACTATCTGTTACCTTAGGGGTGTACTGGCACATGAAGGTAAGTACATCACCTGTGCTTCACTATCTGTTACCTTAGGGGTGTACTGGCACATGAAGGGTACATCACCCTGTGCTTCACTATCTGTTACCCTGTGGGCACTATCTGTTACCTAGGGTGTAGGCACATGAAGGTGAGTACATCACCCTGTGCTTCACTATCTGTTACCTTAGGGGTGTACAGGCACATGAAGGTAAGTACATCACCCTGTGCTTCACTATCTGTTACCTTAGGGGTGCACATTAAGTACATCACCCTGTGCTTCACTATCTGTTACCTTAGGGGTGTACAGGCACATGAAGGTAAGTACATCACCCTGTGCTTCATTATCTGTTACCTTAGGGGTGTACTGGCACATGAAGGTAAGTACATCACCCTGTGCTTCATATCTGTTACCTTAGGGGTGTACAGGCACATGAAGGTAAGTACATCACCCTGTGCTTCACTATCTGTTACCTTAGGGTGTACAGGCACATGAAGGTAAGTCATCTGTGCTTCACTATCTGTTACCTTAGGGGTGTACAGGCACATGAAGGTAAGTACATCACCCTGTGCTTCACTATCTGTTACCTGGGCACAAAGCGTCTCACTATCTGTTACCTTAGGGGTACAGGCACATGGTAAGTACATCACCCTGTGCTTCACTATCTGTTACCTTGGGGTGTACTGACACATGGTAAGTACATCACCCTGTGCTTCACTATCTGTTACCTTAGGGGTGTACAGGCACATGAAGGTAAGTACATCACCCTGTGCGTCACTATCTGTTACCTTAGGGGGTGTACTGGCACATGAAGGTAAGTACATCACCCTGTGCTTCACTATCTGTTACCTGTCTGTTACACTATGTTACCTTAGGGGTGTACTGGCACATGAAGGTAAGTACATCACCCTGTGCTTCACTATCTGTTACCTTAGGGGTGTACAGGCACATGAAGGTAAGTGCATCACCCTGTGCTTCACTATCTGTTACCTTAGGGGTGTACAGGCACATGAAGGTAAGTACATCACTCTGTGCTTCACTATCTGTTACCTTAGGGTGTACAGGCACATGAAGGTAAGTACATCACCCTGTGCTTCACTATCTGTTACCTTAGGGTGTACTGGCACATGAAGGTAAGTACATCACCCTGTGCTTCACTATCTGTTACCTTAGGGTGTGTAGGCACATGAAGGTAAGTACATCACCCTGTGCTTCACTATCTGTTACCTTAGGTGTACAGGCACATGAAGGTAAGTACATCACCCTGTGCGTCACTATCTGTTACCTTAGGGGTGTACTGGCACATGAAGGTAAGTACATCACCCTGTGCTTCACTATCTGTTACCTTAGGGTGTACAGGCACATGAAGGTAAGTACATCACCCCTGTGCTTCACTATCTGTTACCTTAGGGTGTACTGGCACATGAAGGTAAGTACATCACCCTGTGCTTCACTATCTGTTACCTTAGGGTGTACAGGCACATGAAGGTAAGTACATCACCCCTGTGCGTCACTATCTGTTACCTTAGGGTGTACTGGCACATGAAGGTAAGTACATCACCTGTGCGTCACTATCTGTTACCTTAGGGGTGTACAGGCACATGAAGGTAAGTACATCACCCTGTGCTTCACTATCTGTTACCTTAGGGGTGTACTGGCACATGGAGGTGAGTACATCACCCCGTGCTTCACTATCTGTTACCTTAGGGGTGTACAGGCACATGAAGGTGAGTACATCACCCTGTGCTTCACTACCTGTTACCTTAGGTGTACAGGCACATGAAGGTAAGCATCACCCCATGCTTCACTATCTGTTACCTTAGGGGTGTACAGGCACATGAAGGTAAGTACATCACCCGTGCTTCACTATCTGTTACCTTAGGGGTGTACAGGCACATGAAGGTAAGTACATCACCCCGTGCTTCACTGTTATTTTCTAGGTGCTTTGAGATATACAGTACAGGTAATTCCTCCATCAATTATTCTTTCAGTAAAATCAGAGGTAAATCCTATGTTTCTGTTCTTTACCCACAGGTGTACAGAGACTTGCAAAACTAATGAAAATATACCAAAAGTCGTTAAGACAAGTGACTTCCAATTATAACTTTCCCAAACAAGATCTTTAATTACCATGTTGACGAATGACTAAATTAAAATTCTAAAAAAAAAAAAAAAAAAAATCTACTTTTGGGGGCCAAATCGGTAAGGCTGTGAAACATCATTTGCAATTTATTTTTTTATGTTTTAACTTTAAACAACTTTTTTTTCTCTCCTGGAATTGGAAATAAACACCAAAAATCCCGGTCGAAAATTAAGACAGATGGCAAGTAATTAAGGTTACATTATACACATTCAAGTAACAATAACAGACGCTATCTTCTTCTGTCTTCTTGAAACAATTAGCCATATTCGTACGGCTATTTTGATTCGTTAAGTTCAGTTCATATCTGGTCCTAGAGCGAAGTGATTCGTTAACATTATCCCGCGTTCGCTTCCTGTCCTCATCCCAGTGAAGTAGTGATACCAGGGACTGTCCTTCACAACTCTCTCTCTCTCTCTCTCTCTCTCTCTCTCTCTCTGTAACAACAGGTGTTAAGGGGTCGCCACTCCACGATCGGCAACATTCACCACTCCACGATTATGGTCGCCTCGCTGTACACAGACGCTCAGGGTTACACGCCCTTACATATCAGTAGGACCAAGTACCAAGTCTTCGCTGGTGTCGCCTGGGGGTTCAGGTGAGTGTGGTGCTCTATAAATAATAAATCTAAGCATAACTAACTTTTTATAAACATTCTCAATCACATTTTTAACGCCTCTAACCTCTTAACAATATTTTCTAACATCTTTATTTATAATTTCACTCTTTTTAAAACATTTCTTTAACATTTATAATATTTTGATAAACATTTATAACGATTAAAAACACGCCTAAACTCATTATTAATATTGATAAGCTTTTAAAAAAAATAACATTTCCAAACATTACGAAAACTCCAATCAACATTCCTACACCCGTCACCATCAGTAAACATTGACGCACTGTGTAACATCAACATTGCAGGAAGGGGGCGCCATTCCTCAAGCGTTTTAGCTTCTTGAAACAGATGATGATCGAGGCGGGGCTGATAGATCACTGGATGGAGGAAGCCACCGCCGCCACCATCACCAACTACAAGAAAGACATTAATGAAACCGTCGACTTTGACTCCTCAGGGGTTAGTGCTGTCTGGGGGCACTGTCGACTTTTAATATATGATGTTATATAAGGAACTGAATAATTAGATAGATAGAATATACAGCATACATAAACACAGAGAAAGAGAGCTACAGAGAGATTGAGAGAATATACAGAGACAGAACGACAGAGACAAAAGAAATAATATTGAGATAGAGAGACAAAATAAAAAAGACTAATTAAGGGAAAATTTTCTAACCACCTTGATTCTCACCCTTATGGCAGGTAGGTACAGAGAAGGTGATGGTAGTGCTTACTCTCCACCACCTCCAGGGGGTCTTCTACCTCCTACTGCTGGGGTATGGCCTCGCCTTCCTCGCCCTTCTACAAGAGAACCTCATCTATACGTACACAAGAAGCAAGGAATAAACAGGAAAAAGGAAGGACTTGATAAAAAGGGAATTATTAGAAAAAATCGTCGATAAATCGTAAGCTGTAAGTAGATACAAGAGGAAATGAAGCGTGGACTAAGCGTGGAGAGACGACTGGACAAGCGTTGGGCGGTCTCAGAATACAATAATCAACAACATTAGCAGAAAGAAGAAAGCATAATTGTGTAGAGAGAGAAAAGGATAAACTAACGATTAGAAATTAAAATATCTATCTATATATATTTATCTCTACAGTATCTACGCCGCTCCCCTACACAGAAAACGTCCGCTACACAGAAAACGTCAACTAATGCACCGGTAACTATCCAAAAATGACAATAGGATTATTTTTGTTGTTATAGTTAGAATAGCAGCAAGTACAATATACCTTCGCTTTCTTTATCCTTATATCAAGTAACTGTGTCTATAGCTTTTTGTTTTTATTTTTCGACTTTAGGTTTGGTCCATTAAGTGTAATTCGCCCTTAAATATTGGAGGAAATAAAAGGTCTGTTGAAAAAAAAAAAATCCCCTTAAATCTAAACTTTTTTTTTTTACGTCTACCCGGCCATGAAAACACACCTAGAAAAAAATTAATCCAAGACAATGAAATAAAATAAAACTCCTGCAACTGTAAAACACTGAAACACACACACACACACACACACACACACACACTGACAGGGATAAACATTTGATACACTTACACTACAACAATGAAACATGCAAAAAAGAGACGATATTTTTGACGGAGTTCGACGTTGTGTCATGAAGACCACTGACGCTCGACTCTGCCGTCTACCCGATACGCCTCCTGGGTACTGACGGTGTTGGCTGTCTCATCTCTGTCTTGGCGTCTTGAACACCATCACGCGAGTACTGAACACCGCTGGAAATAATACTCCTCACATATAGATACTCACTCAAGATTAACCTAAACTTTAATTCACCTTATGAGTAACCTAACCTAACGTCTTAATCTAGTATCCTAACCTAACCTAACTTAACCTAGTATCCTTACCTAACCTAACCTAACATGACCAGACCTGACCTCGACTTAAGGGTTAAATATGCGTTATCATCAAGGAATAGAACTCGGATTAAGAGATCTGAGTTAGTACATCTGCCTCTCAATCTTCGACCCCGGTGTGTGTGTGTGTGTGTGTGTGTGTGTGTGTGTGTGTGTGTGTGTGTGTGTATGTGTGTGACTGTGTGTTATTAATAATAATGATATTAGTATTAGTAGTAGTAGTAATGTGTATGTGTGTGTGTCATCCCATTTCTTGGTGACGAAACATCATAACACGACCACAACAACCACACACAACATACAGTACATCCTACCACACCACAACCACACCACAACCACACCACAACCACACCACAACCACACATCGCCAAACTTCACCGACATTACCAAAATTAACGCATTTCACCACGCTTTTATTTCACGTGATTTATTGAACGCTAAGTTAAGAGAGTGATAAAATTCTCGCTAAGCTAAAACTCTACGAATTAGTGGATATATTTTGGAGAGTTTTATTCGTACACAAAAATTAGTGGAGGGAGAGAGTTATTTTTATAGGCTGTAATAGTTTGATATAGAGGACAGTTCTTCATTCTTTTCCATAGTGGTATTAAGGGCTTATCTGTGTTATGTATCATTATGCATTATTGCGTATCATTATGTATTATTATGTATTAGTTATACCTTGTGGTTATTCTATGTTGAGTGGTTTTGCTGAATGGGGATGAACATATGTTAAATAGTCACTGAATCTTTACACACAGTCCAAGGGGTGGGAGGCAGTGCCTCAGATCTCTTAATCGGAGTTCTATTCCGGGATGATAGCGCGTATTTAACCCTTAAGTCGAGGTCAGGTCAGGTCAGGATAGGCTAGGTTAGGTTAGGTTAGGTTACTCATAAGGTGAATTAAACCTTGGGTTAATCTTGAGTGAGTATCTATATGTGAGGAGTATTATTTCCAGCGGTGTTCAGTACTCGCGTGATGGTGTTCAAGACGCCTAGACAGAGATGAGACAGCCAACACCGTCAGTACCCAGGAGAGTTGGGTTAAACATATTAAAACAAATACGTAATATAAGATTTTTCTTTTTTTTTCTATATTCCTCCAAAACTCCAACTCCCTCCACTTCATCCAGTAAAAAGGTGTAACGAAGCAGACAAAATCCGTACGTGAAGTTGAGTTTGTCAGCGATGGTGTCTAAGATGCTGAAGTCGAGGCTCTTGCGGGGGGTGATGGGGTTTAGGGAGCCGGGTGAGTCCCTCTGGTAGTTGGTGTAGGGCACTAGTTCCAACCCCACCACTCTGAACTGGTGACCCTTCATGTTCCTCAAGTCGTCTGGTAGGAACACAAACATTCATATTCATCCCGAGAGATAATGTAGGGAGCCAAGCAAAACAATTGCCGTAATACCTAGGTGTACGTCGCAGCAACGCGATAACATTATCCCGCCAACTGATGATTACATATTGTGCAGCAGCAGATGGACAGTCTCTCTCTCTCTAAAAAAACTTTGCATTGAACCATCACCTTTACCGCTCGCGAGACAGATAAAACCCGCCCTCTGCCTCACATTACTGCGCTTTTTATAATAACACCTATTGAAAAACACTGAAATACGCGATTTATGGAGCCATTACAGGATTTACCTCGTCCAGAAAAACACAATTTCTGTCCCTTGTATTTATAAAACGATTTCGGGTATTGACACACAGTATTTACCTACCATGTACACTGACCACGCACACACGGGGGCATATATGTGTGTGTGTGTGTGTGTGCGGAGAATATATTGCAGTGTATGATTTATAGAATATATAGTTTTAAAAGAAATTCAAGGTTTTTCTTCGCTAAAACACAGGCAGAGTTACTAGACGGGTGCTGAGGCGACAAGTGCAGTTTAGAATCATGGCGGCTCTTTTGATGATGGGCGGTCCCCTGGAGGATCAGTTTGTTGTGATAAGATTTTTTGGCCATGAGGGATAAACACCGCTTAAGTCTCCTGCAGAATAACCCAACAGCATGGAGGAACCTGCTTGAGCCTTTGCAGTGTGTGACGGCGAGAGGACATCAGACATAACTAGGAAAAAATTGTAGTAACACCACTGTCAAAGGGTTGGTACTCTGCAGTGTTCAGTAGAGCTACACTCACTAATGCCACCACCACACAGCCTCACTCAGCCTCAGAGAGCATTTGGGAGGGTACATAACGTTTCTGATTAAATTCTCTGCCTGCCAAAACTCCTGTAGACCCCGGACTAACACTGTGTGGGACTCCCTGCCATAGTGTTTTGTCTATGTCTTAAAACTTCTTTCACTGTTTTATACATTTTCTTTGTCTGACAAGAGGACGACGACACCTCACTGAATAGTTTTGACAACAACGCCTGTCTGATCACTCCTTGAACTTTTTCTTTGTTGAAATAAAATGCACGTCGACAGAGAGATGGTGCCTCGCTGGGTGCCGTTTGCCGCCTGATTTAAGAGATCCTGTCACCTGCAGCTCAAGGCCCTGACACACCACCCTGTCACCATAATATTCCCTCGGGTCCTTACTGGAGGAATTACGAGACAGAACATTCACTATGGACGGTCGTTACGGGCAGCGCTGCACTGGGAAAAAGTCAGGATCTTGTCTGACCCAGAGAACATCAGTCTGAAGGATTTATGCAATGAAAACTTGTGAATCAGTGTACCGAGACTCAACTCGAGGTCTCTACAGGAACTATCATAATATATGTGTGAAACTAACGGCTGTACCTTTATTTGTTGACTGATGCTTCTGTGTGTCTGTGTGTGTGTGTGTGTGTGTGTGTGTGTTTGCTTAGCTGTGTGTGTTTGTTTAGCTGTGTGTATTTGTTTAGCTGTGTGTGTTTGCTTAGCTGTGCGTGTTTGCTTAGCTGTGTATGTGTGTGTGTGTGTGTGTGTTTGCTTAGCTGTGTGTGTTTGTTTAACTGTGTGTTTTTGTTTAGCTGTGTGTGTTTGCTTAGCTGTGCGTGTTTGCTTAGCTGTGTGTGTTTGTTTAACTGTGTGTTTTTGTTTAGCTGTGTGTGTTTGCTTAGCTGTGCGTGTTTGCTTAGCTGTGTGTGTGTGTGTGTGTGTGTGTGTAAACTTCACCTTATACAATATATATGCTGTAAAATCCTAAACAACCTCGTTATCATCGTCAAAACAGCAAACAGCATTATTACTAGTTACCTGAAACCAAAAATAAATCATCATCATTATCATCGGTGTTGTGGTGGTGAAGGCTGCCGATCTCACCCTGAGGGGATGGCAGAATATTAGGTGTTTGGTATCTTAAGTTAATTAAGCTCCATGAGGGGAGACACCGACACCATTAAGGTCTAAAATCAGTCGAGGGGAGCCAAGTGATGGACTCTCTATGGTTCGTATGTTAAATTTTCATCCTAACTGGTGATGTGAAAACGTATCTGACTGACTGATTGACTGACTGACTGACTGACTGACCTGGTATCTGCGACATTTTTTGTTGTTGTCTTATTTCTAATTTGTTTAATTGTCCAAGTTTTATAGAACAAAGACAACAACAACAACAATATAAGCGACAAGAAACAACATTCTAATATTGTCAAAATCTTAAGTGTGTTTATAACAGTTGAGTGGATACAGGACTCGTCTTCTGTACTAAGGGCCCTTACTTCGCGTCTGGAGCACCCTCAGTCCCAGGTTAGGGTTAGGGTAACGTTAGGCAAGGATAGATTAGGTTAGGTTAGATTAGGTTTAGGTTAGATGAGGTTAAAGAGTTTTTGCCCCATCAGCTATACATTACTCGTATATTTCAAGACATACAAAAATACTATTCAACAACGTATATCTATAATCTACTGTATATCTAAATCACGTAACCTAACCTAACGTAACCTAACGTAACCTAACGTAACCTAACCCTAAGATAAGAGTATAGGGGAGAAGTAAGAGACACCAGCCTCCTGACCTGAGACAAAAATCCTACTACACAAAGGTGAATTTTGCAGTGGATGGAAAGGTGAACGAATATGATACCTGAGGAGACTATGCTAGTTTTATCTCTATTGTACACCTGTGTTGTATACCTGTGTTGTTTACCTGTGTTGTATACCTGTGTTGTATACCTGTGTTGTTTACCTGTGTTGTATACCTGTGTTGTATACCTGTGTTGTATACCTGTGTTGTATACCTGTGTTGTATACCTGTGTTGTATACCCAGCAGGCTGTATACCCTGTGTTGTATACCTGTGTTGTTTACCTGTGTTGTATACCTGTGTTGCATAAATCTGTGTTGTATAATCTGTGTTAGCACCCGTGTTGTATACCCAGGTATAATCTGTAAGGTATACCCAAACAGATAATCTGTGTTGTATACCCTGTGTTGTATAATCTGTGTTGTTTAATTCGTGGTTGTATAATTGTGTTGTATAATCTGTATATATAATCTGTGTTGTATACCTGTGTTGTTTACCTGTGTTGTATACCTGTGTTGTATACCTGTGTTGTATACCTGTGTTGTATACCCGTGTTGTTTACCTGTGTTGTTTACTCCGTGTTGTATACCTGTGTTGTATACCTGGGTGTTGTTTACTCCGTGTTGTATACCTGTGTTGTATACCCAAAGTTGTGGCGCACCTGTGTTGTATACCCGTGTTGCATAATCTGTGTTATTTCAATTCGTGTTGCATAAATCTGTGTTGTATACCCGTGTTGTACAATCTGTGTTGTATACCTGTGTTGTTTCAATTCGTGTTGTACACCTGTGTTGTATACCTGTGTTAGAGCACCTGTGTTGTATACCCAGCCAGGTATACCTGTGTTGTATAACCTGTGTTGTATACCTGTGTTGTTTACCTGTGTTGTATACCTGTGTTGGTATGTACCTGTGTTGTATACCTGTGTTGGTATACCTGTGTTGTATACCCGTGTTGTATAATCTGTGTTGTATAATTGTGTTGTATGACCTGTGTTGTATACCTGTAAGTTGTTTACCTGTGTTGTATACCTGTGTTGTGGCAGAGAAAGCAGATTAACTAAAACCCACATCGAAGGTAAAGTAAATATAACAGAAAATAGTGTACCATCGTAGTGTGTGTGTGTGTGTGTGTGTGTGTGTGTGTGTGTGTGTGTGTGTGTGTGCATTAAAGACAATAATAATAATAATAATAATAATAATAATAATAATAATAATAATAATAATAAATAATAATAATAACATCAACATTTCGTCACAAGTAAATGTAGGTAACACTGGTAGTCTGATGAAACACAAATCTTTCAACACATTAGGGCAGCTTCCTCCCACCGTGTGTTACAGCGGGATAACAGAAGAGAAACTCCCTTAAAATATTAAGATGTCGTAACTCAGAAGTCATATATGTAAATGGAAAAAGTTTAAATATATTCATTAGTTTTCCTTACTGAAGTTTTCCTCTAAAGCAGAATAAAATTAGTATAACGCAATCTGGCCGAGTCATACAAGAGAGGGCATGCGCGGGTGAAGGGGGTCTGGCAGGTCAGCGTGTGTCAGTGGGTGATGGTGTGTGGTGGTGGGAGGACGGCGACACAGCCTCACGACCTCACAGCATCAAGTGTAAACACATTTCACGAAGCCCACAGCATTACTGGAACATTCACTCGGTGCTTTATCTAGGCCTCGAGGCTACTAAACGAAGATTAATCCTTATCAGACATTAAATTTATACCTAGAGTTGTCGTGTTGGTGATGAGACTCAGAAAATCTTGAGACAGGCAGATGTGAATTTGTACAAGAGTGACCCATATTGACACACACACACACACACACACACACACCTTACGCAGATTTGGACTCCCTGGACGAGACTGAACTAACCCTGGAGCAGGTAAGTCTGTCTTGTAAATTAATCATTATCATCAAGTTGTCTCAATAAAAAACTACAAAAAGAAATATTTAATTATAGGCAGATGTTAACTACATTTAAGAAACTATTATTATCTTGGTAAACTAACGAGTATATATATTAATGTGATATGAATCTGAGAGAACGACTTATTGTGGGGGGTGGAAGAGGCAGGAGGAGGGGTGAGGTCTCGTCTTGTCAACACACCCAGGCGAGCGTGAAGATGATAATCGGGTGATGGTTCGTACGTCAGCTGTATGTCATCCTGCAGCAAATGTTTATAGTGTTCACAGGCAGTAAGTAGTTTATAAATGTACACACACACACACACACACACACACACCAGAAAGAAAGTCAGAAATCGCCAAAAGAAACTGTGAATATGAAAAGAAAACTGCAAAACATTCCGCCTTTTAAATTTCTCTTGAAAACATATATTGAAAAGCCATAGAAGGAGAGAGAGAGAGAGAGAGAGAGAGAGAGAGAGAGAGAGAGAGAGAGAGAGAGAGAGAGAGAGAGAGAGAGAGAGAATAAGGGAGACAGAAAAACAGAGAAAGTGTTTAATTCTGTTTAATTCATTCTACATAATACAAAATTCTACATAATACAAACAGGAACACTAGAGAGAGACTACAAATCAAACACAAACAGAACAAATACACACACATACACACACAAACACACACACACACACACACACACACACACACACACACACATAAAACACATCTAAAGATATTATTGCTATCTTACAATCAGATACAAAAAAAGGTTCCTCACAAAAAAACAATAACAAGATAACTAAAGAATATAAATAAAAAACAAATAAAAAAGTATTTGGTGAACAAGTATAAAATGGCTGGAATGTTTCATGGAATTTACAGAACAACGCGAGGATGATAGGAGAGAGAGAGAGAGAGAGAGAGAGAGAGAGAGAGAGAGAGAGAGAGAGAGAGAGAGAGAGAACTAAAGAAAGAAAGAAAGATAGAGAGAAAAAGAAAGAAAGTATACATTCATATCTATTTATCCCGCTTGCCTGTGTGTTGTATATTTGTGGTTATGTGTATAAATGAGGGTAAATTTTTCTTGTAGCACAGTTCACTTGTAGCAAGTTAAAAATATATTTTTCTAGTGTATTTGTGTGTGCTGAGACCGAACATGACCTTCCTTTTTGGCGGAAATTAGCCGGGTTATTTTAGCGATTTTTTTTTCGTTTGACGTTTTCCGAGAAAAAAAAGTGCCGAAGCGACTAACAAATACACAATAAAACACTAGAAAAACAATAACCAAACCAAACCTAACCTAACTTAACTGACTCACCATATGATGGAATCACCTATTTCTTTCCTTATTGGCCTGGTTCTTGTTCGTCGCTGCATTCTGGGATTCTTACCCAACTCCACATATGTTGGTCTTTGCGATATTTACATTCAGTCTTGCTCTTAGTACACTTTACTGAGGTTGGAAGAACACCATGCGATCGAAAAAATGCTATAGTTTCTTCGTTTTTTCCCAAAAACTCGCAATCAGCTCCATATACTTTAAGTGACATCCATCGCAGACTTCCATGGTCGGAACTGAACTTGAATTTCAAAATATGAGACCCAAAAGAATACTCGATTTTGATTGGGTCAAAAATACCGCGAATTAAACCCAAAAACATTTTAATTGGTTTCAAAATAAAAAAGGCTTTTGATTGGCCGCGTGACGTGTACAGCAACACATGAGCAGGATGATTTATGAAGGGGACGCAGGAGACACGCAGTGTTGGAGGAGAGGCAGACGATAATGGCGGGATGTTAATGGAAGAAAATAGAAAAAAATTTGGAAAAGCTATCTCCGTTATTATACATTTCCGCCGGTAATGTAATAGATGAAAATTATCTTATAATTAGACGTCTTATTCGAATATGATAATAGATTAGTGGTAGGAATGAACGGAGCTACAATAATACCAAAATGAGTATGTGGCCACACTGTCCTGACCTACTAATACACTGCTGACCCACTAATACACTGCTGACCTACTAATACTCTGCTGACCCACTAATACTGCTGACCTACTAATGCTGAACCCGCTATAAGAGCAGCCCTTCCTATTCAGTATTGCTTAACGTAAAATATATCTTAACGTCATCAGCCAGGGCAAGAGTTTATTTGTTTGTGATGGTGGTCAACCAGCTGGCCACCTCCTGAACACACCCAGCTGGCCACCTCCTGAACACACCCAACTGGCCACCACCTGAACACATCCAACTGGCCACCTCCTGAACACATCCAACTGGCCACCCTGAACACATCCAGCTGGCCACCTGAACACACCCAGCTGGCCACCTCCGAACACATCCAACTGGCCATCTCCTGAACATGACATCCAACCACCTCCAGAACACATCCAACTGGCCATCTCTTGAACACATCCAACTGGCCTCCCTTGAACACATCCAACTGGCCATCTCCCTGAACACATCCAGCTGGCCACCTCCTGAACACATCCAACTGGCCATCTCCCTGAACAGACATCCAACCGGCCATCTCCCTGAACACATCCAACTGGCCACCTTCCTGAACACATCCAGCTGGCCACCTCCTGAACACATCCAGCTGGCCATCTTGAACACATCCAACTGGCCATCTCTTAAACACATCCAACTGGCCATCTCCTGAACACCTCCAACTGGCCACCTCCTGAACACATCCAGCTGGCCACCTCCTGAACACATCCAACTGGCCACCTCCTGAACACATCCAGCTGGCCATCTCCTGAACACCTCCAACTGGCCACCTCCTGAACACCTCCAACTGGCCACCTCCTGAACACATCCAACTGGCCATCTCCTGAACACATCCAACTGGCCTCCTCCTGAACACATCCAGCTGGCCATCTCTTAAACACACCCAACTGGCCTCCTCCTGAACACTAAACATTCCTGGGTAGTAAGTTCGTAGAGTAATCCTTAACATCGGTCACCATATTGATTCGTTAAACTCAAATAGCAGCTAGTAGTTTTTAGTCATAGTAAAGCCACAACGCAAGAGAGTTGGTAGTTGTAAGCCCTTGAAATTGGCAGGTCTAGACAAGTTAGGTTCAAACACTTATTCTAAAATATATGTAATAGAACCTAACCTAATCTAACCTAACCAAACCAAACCAAACCAAACCAAACCTAACCAAACCAAACTTAAGCTAACCAAACCAAACCAAACTTAAGCTAACCAAACCTAACCAAACTTAAGCTAACCAAACGAAACCAAACCAAACTTAACCTAACCAAACCAAACCAAACCAAATCTAACCAAACCAAACCAAACCAAATCTAACCAAACCTAACCAAACCAAACCAAACCAAACCAAACCAAACCAAACCAAACCAAACCAAACCAAACCAAACTTAAGCTAACCAAATCTATCCAACGAAACACTTATCTAAACGCACAAGAGGGTGATTACTGGACTATAATGCTTGATAAATATTGAATATGTCTTCAGGGTGTAAGGTAATAATTCTCTTAAAAATAATAAATACTCGATCAAAAAACTATCTATATTGGAAAGGTCAGATGAACGTCAAAATGAACACTGCGACTCCTGTTGTCTAGGGTAGGGTTGTGAAAATTCTTCGTCCGTTGTGTCATAGCTTGTAAACACATTTTTTTTTTACAGATATATTAAATATTTTTGGAGTTCTTACATTTGGTAATTATTGACATTACTTTTACATTATTTTCCTGTCATTATTTTCCTGTCATTATTTCCCCGACTTGATATATATATATATATTGTATTTCGGGTATTTTTTTTTCCTATATAAATCATTCGGGTAAAAGGGAAAAAGAACCCTGACGAGTTGGCCCGATTACTTGAGAAATAATCTGAACGTCTGGCCTAGAAATAAAGGATTACAGTTCGGGGGTGGGGGTCGCTTTAGGATGGTTAATAAGTATCCTCATTGGTTAAAAAAATTGACCGTCTGGCTTTTCAGTGGACAGCGATGAAGGAATGAGAGAGAGAGAGGAGGGGAGAAGAGAAAGAAAGGGAGAGAGAGATAGGAGAGAGGAGAAGGGAGAAGAGTAATAAAGGGAGAGAGATAGAGAGAGAGAGAGAGAGAGAGAGAGAAGAGAGAGAGAGAGAGAGAGAGAGAGAGAGAGAGAGAGGAAAAGACACACCCATAAGGAGCTACATCCACTTACTCTTAACAACAGTCACAACTTAAAACAATTACCCCTTCCTCTCCTCTCCCCCCTTCCTCTCCCTCTCCCTCCTTTCTCTACCTCTCTCCCTCCTTCCCTTTCCTCCCTCCCTCCCTTCCTCTCCTCCTACGAAAACAAAAGTTTCATATCCCCACAAATACAAACTATTAACAATTTCACGGGTAAAAAAAAATAGTCTGCACGAAACATCATTATCAACTAAATATGATTATCCTATAAACTAACTTTTTTTTTTTTCAATAATAAAATCGTGTTTATTTGGCCTCAGTCACGCAACTCAGTATTTACTCTCTGCAACATATAAATATAACACACACACACACACACACACACCCACACACACACAGAACCCAAGTCACAATGTTGAGATACACTGTACAGCCTCGATTGACCCCACCGTCTTAGGTAAAGCTCTCACACATGTCGACTACCAAGTGCATTTGAAACTAAGGTCAGGCCACACGAATTTCATACACCCATTGAGTATAGAGAGCCCCTGAAAATGTTTGCCTCCTCCTCTCCTGGCCTCCCTCTCCTGCCTGACCCTCCTCTGCCTCCATTCTCCTCCCTGCCTCCCTCCCCTCCCCAACTCACAGCTTAGGAGCAAGGGGAGGAAGGGGACAGGCAGGAAGGAGTATCAGAGGGAGAGGAGGAGGGAAGGAAGGAGGAGGAGGCAGGGAGGAAGGCAGGGACATTTTTCCAGCACACCCTATTGACCCTCAGTGTTCACATCTAAGTTAAAATAGGGAAATTTATTTGTGATTCAACCAATTTTTCGGACTCCATGATTACTCTCTTTCCTATCCCCCCTCTTCCCCTCCACCTCAGCTTATTTCACCTGATGATTTGAATATCTTAATTCTACCTTGGAGAGGGAGTAGTTAGGTTAGGTTATGGATTAGGTTAGGAAGAAGAGTTATGACTATAGATTATAGTTTAGGTTAGATTATATTATATTGGACTAGGTAGGTGTAGGTAGTAGATTATAGGATTAAAGAAGGAGTTGTTAGATTATGATTATATAGACTAGGGTTAGTTATGGTTAGGTTAGATTATAGATTATATTAGACTAGGTTAGGTTAGGTTAGGTTAGGTTAAACTGAATAATCTTTAGTGGTACAATAAACTATGAACGAGACAGAGATTATTAATCTTTTTAGGTAACCCAATTTTTTTTATCCTTATTTATTTATTTTTATTCACAATCAACTGTTCCACCGAGCAGTACTCAGAGCCAATCCAGCCAAGAGGTCCACCTTAGAGAACACAAGGACCACCTCAGCACAAAGCTCCCGATCGATTTCAACCTCACTCTCAGCAACCAGAAGACCGCCTCGAGTGCCTAGCTCTTCATGTTTGTTCTGCACCACCACAAGGACTACCCAGGTTCCTCAGCTTAAAGCCGACTTACTCCTTCATAGGATCTGTTACAGCGGAATCCTTAATTGTCAACAGGATTCTGGAAATAGTTCTTAAAGCTATGTGGGGGAGTGGTCCTAACCTAACCTAACCTAACTCATTAATCTAACCTGACCTAACCTAACCTAACATTAATCTAACCTAACCTGACCTAACATTAATCTAACCTGACCTAACCTAACCTAACATTAATCTAACCTGACCTAACCTGACCTAACATTAATCTAACATAACCTGACCTAACATTAATCTAACCAACCTAACCTAACCTAACATTAATCTAACCTAACCTGACCCAACATTAACCTAACCTGACCTAACATTAATCTAACCTGACCTAACCTGACCTAACATTAATCTAACCTAACCTAATCTAACCTAAGTATAAAACGCCTCTGAGTTAGAAAAGTGAATGTCAATTATTCTGGAAAGTAATAATTTGTTCGCCCCTTGCGTTGAGAATCCTCCTGTGTTGACATTTCATCCAAATATAAGAATTCATTGTTGTCGACTGAGAAGCTATTATATACACTTTTGTCTTTTGGTTTTAATGGATAGAACAAGATCGTGTTACTCTATCTTTCTTTCTTTCTTTCACTTTCTCTCTCGTTTTCTTTTTTTATCTTTTTTTTCTCTCGTTTTCTCTCTTCTTTTTTCTCTCGTTCTCTCTTTTTGCCTGTTTTCTCTCTTTTTTTCTCTCATTCTCTCTCTTCTCTCTTCTCCGTTCTCTCTCATTTTCTCCCCTTTCTCTCTCTCGTCTTCTATCAGTTTTAAATACAAGAGAGAAATTAGCAGTTTTATATCTCGATGGTTATTCACAATTCTCTTAACTGAGAATAAGAGACAACATAAATCAGTAATATTATCCAAAAAAAAAAAAAATCACCCAAATAAAAAAAATCACAAAAAGTAAAAAAAAAATCAAAAAAGTAAAAAAAAAAATCGTAAAAATCACAGTAAAAAATCGCCAAAAAACCCAGAGTGTGTTGGATTTCTGAGGATAAGCCGAGGTGTTGATTACTGAGGATAAGCCGAGTGGTGTTGGATTACTGAGGATAAGCCGAGTGGTGTTGGATTACTGAGGATAAGCCGAGGAAGAGAACTAAGAGGAAGGGAACAATTGGCAGTCAGAAGTTAAGAGTCAATTCTTTAATGCTTATGGTGGTGATGGTGTAGTGTTGAGGAGAGAGAGAGAGAGAGAGAGAGAGAGAGAGAGAGAGAGAAGGAGAGAGAGAGAGAGAGAGAATTAGACAGACAGACAGATACAGAAAGTCAAGACAGACTGACAGACAGAAAGAGGCAGAAAGAGAAACAGACAGACAGACAGAAAGAGGCAGAAATAGAAACAGACAGACAGACAGACAGACAGACAGACAGAATGAATGAATAGAGGGGTAACAGACAAACACACAGACAGAGAAGAGAAGAAACAGACAGACAGACAGACAGACAGACAGACAAAACAAAAACAACTGTCCTGGTAAACCCTAGTTTAGCAGAGAGGCGGTGTAAGGAGGTGATTGTGATGGATGACCTGAGTGTAGAGAGGACAAGGGGGGAGGGGAGGGTGGGGTGAAGGCGGGGGGAGGGTGGGTGATGGCGGGGGGAGGGGGAGGTGGGGGGAAGGGAGGGGAGGGGGTGAAGGCGGGGGGGGAGGGGAGGGGTGGGTGATGGCGGGGGGAGGGGGAGGGGGGTGAAGGCGGGGGGAGGGGGGTGAAGGCGGGGGGGGAGGGGGTGAGCGGGGGAGGAGGCACAGGATTTTTTGTAGTCCTGTAAGGATATTAGAACTGTAGGAAGGATATATGAGCAATATCCTTTTCTCTTGTGTGTGTGTGTGTGTGTGTGTGTGTGTGTGTGTGGTTATATTTTACTGTGTGTGCGTTTGTGGGTGTAAAGGATAGGTGTGTAGGGTGTGTGTGTGTGTGTGTGTGTGTGTGTGTGTGTGTTTGTTTGCCTGTTGTGTGGTCGTCTGTATTTTTGCATGTTGTGTGGGTGTATTTCTGCATATCTGTGAAGGACAATTCTGTATTCTGAAACACAAACCGGTGCAAAAAATGTTTAGCATACCAAACAGAGAGGGATGGGATGGGGAGATACGACACATATTTCTGGTAAAAAAATCCGGTATGTGTATGATGAATGTATAATGCATAGTGTATGATGTATATGTACTGTATGATGTATAGTGTATGATGTATATGCACTGTATGATGTATAGTGTATGATGTATATGTACTGTATGATGTATGTGTATGATGTATAGTGTGTGATGCATGATGTATAATGTATGATGTATATGCATGATGTGTGATGTATGACTGATAAGCTGGTGAAGAGGGAGGTTCTCTGGGTCACTGGTTGGTAGAGAAGAAGATAGTCAACTTTATAATAATAATAATAATAATAATAATAATAATAATAATTTCATTCTTCTTCTTCTAATTATTATTATTATTATTATTATTATTATTATTATTATTATTATTATTATTATTATTATTATTATTATTATTATTATTATTATTATCATTATTATTCGCAGTAGTAGTGGTCTACCACCGAGACTGGAAGGAATGGGATTGACTAATACAGAGGAGCTTGCTGCCACAGAACATCAGAACTCAGTCAAGCTCACGGCAGCCCTCACTGGGCACATAATAGCTCAGAATGCAGCAAGTGAGGTGGATACCAACGAATTAAACAAGATTCGACGGTCCATTACAACAGAACGGCAGCACACCCAAAGCGATAAACTGCAACAACTGTTGCAACAATTGCCAGAGAACTTGAAAACAAAGTAGCTACAGCGCAGGAGGCGGGCGCTCAAACTGGCTAACAACGTTACCCATAAGAGCTAAAAGGCTTCATCCTTAATAAACAAGAATTTACAGGTGCCATTGCTCTAAGGTACGGTAGGCCAGTAGAAGGTTTGCCCTCCCAATGCGTGTGGCTCATCCTGCGACATCGATCACGCCATGGTGTGTAAGAAAGGGGGCTTTGTATGCATGAGGCATGACGAAGTAAGGGATCTCACAGCAAATTTATCAAGGAAATCTGGCATGATGTCATGGTGGCCGCCTCCTTCCATTGAACAGTGAGAACCTCCGTCACAGGACATCAAACACATCCAACGAAGCCCGTGTGGACGTCAGTGCTCGAGGATTCTGGACGCGGGGACAGCGAGCCTTCTTTGACATAAGGATTTTCGATCCCATGGCACCGTAACCTAGCTCTCGATGCTGCACACAGGAGGAACGAGAATGACTAGCTCAGGGCATATGGGGAGAGAATTCTGAATATTGATCAGGGCAGTTTCACTCCTCTGTTGTTCACAACCTCTGGTGGTATGGGACCAAGTGCAAGATGTTTCTATGCCAGACTCGAGGAGGTGTTATCTGAATTTAACAGCAGCCCAGAAGTTACGTCACAGCCTGGTTGAGATGTCAACTGTCGTTCTCTCTCCTTAGGTCGGCTTTACTCTGCTTCGGGGGAACGAGATCTTCGGCCCCAAAGCCGACAACAGTTGCAGATATTGACTATGAGGCAACAGTCACTGAATGCCGCATACAGTAGATCTGCGGCCTAACACAGCTAGGATAGCTACTTATGTATTAGGATATTTAATATTAAGGTATAAAATGGTGTGAAGGTATGGCTATTGGGGGAGGCTGGAGACCATTTAAAGTAGTAGGAATTAAAAAAAAGTATTATTAGTAGTAGTATCATTGTTATACTCTCTATGACCACATCTCTCGTTTCAGAGGATGGAGGAGGAGAACAAAGCCTCCCCGGCCTCCTCCTACCACAGCGAGGAGACCAACACAGGCCTGGAGACCTCACTGAGTGACGACGAGTTCCTCAACCTATCGCCGAAGGGACAGAAATGCCTACAGGAGTTTCTGAACAGTTTGCCGCTCGAGGGTGAGTAACGAGGCCTCCAAGTACTGTGCGTTATTATGTCATCTGTGTATATGTATTCTAAAGGCATTTATTTCTTGTTACTGAAAGAAAGAAAGAAGGAAGAAAAGAAAGAAAGAAAGAAAAAGAAACTACACTGAGGAGAGGACGACGACGACGAAGAAAAAAAGAAGAATGAGATATTATGTACATTGAGAAAGGAAGAAAGGATTTTTTTTTTACGGGATTAGCCCACCCGGGCACGGTCACTGACCCACATCGGGGCCTGGGGGGCGAAAATGTAATAATAATAACGATAATGAGAATAATAATAATAATGATAATAATAATAAAGAACCATAAAGAAATGCAAAATGAAAAAAAAAATCAAAAGTGAGAAACAATTTGTGTGTGTTGTGTTGTCAATAGTAAGAGAAACAATTGAGACCCTGCAATTGTGTTTAAATGAGGCAGAAGTCAAATCAGCAACCTGGGACTTGGTCACAATTTTCGTGATGCCATATAGCTGCTTACATAAACAGAGAGAGAGAGTACACCCTATCCACCAGAGCTAAGGTTTCACCGAACATTTCAAAGGCCAAGTCACCCAATACGCTGTTGTAATCAGCCTCAGATAACTCCCAGGTTTTTGTGGTTTATAGAGGATGTCTTGTGATGTCTTGAGACGCTATCTAACCTACCCGACGGCCACCACAACTAGAGAGTGTAGCCTTGACCAGAGGAAGGAGACCTGTGTATAAGATCCCTCCATTGTTCTTGATAGAGTCTTGTCAAGGGGTAATGTGAATCTCAGTTTTGCTTTCGATATCATGGTTTCAACTGGTAGACTATTCCATAGGTCTATCACTGTCATGGTTTCAACTGGTAGACTCTTCCATAGGTCTATCACTGTCATGGTTTCAACTGGTAGACTATTCCATAGGTCTATCACTGTCATGGTTTCAACTGGTAGACTATTCCATAAGTCTACCAGTATAATATCAACTGGTAGACTCTTCCATAGGTCTATCACTGTCATGGTTTCAACTGGTAGACTATTCCTGAGTCTACCAGTATAATGGCTTCAACTGGTAGACTATTCCATAGGTCTATCACTGTCATGGTTTCAACTGGTAGATCTCTTCCATAGGTCTATCACTGTCATGGTTTCAACTGGTAGACTCTTCCATGGAATTATCACTGTCATGGTTTTAACTGGTAGACTCTTTCATAGGTCTATATGTCATGGTTTCAACTGGTAGACTCTTCCATAGGTCTATCGCTGTCATGGTTTCAACTGGTAGACTATTCCATAGGTTTACCAGTATAATGTATTCAACTGGTAGACTCTTCCATAGGTTTACCACTACCTGGCTTCAACTGGTAGACTCTTCCATAGGTCTACCACTACCTGGCTTCAACTGGTAGACTATTCCATAGGTCTACCACTACCTGGCTTCAACTGGTAGACTCAAGTGGTTAAATCATCATATTCAGGGGTTAAACATCGTCCTTAAAGGGTTTCCAAGTGGGTTAAATCATGGTACTCAAGGGTGAAATCATGGTACTCAAGGGTTAAATCATGGTACTCAAGGGTTAAATCATGGTACTCAAGGGTTAAATCATGGTACTCAAGGGTTAAATCATGGTACTCAAGGGTTAAATCATGGTACTCAAGGGTGAAATCATGGTACTCAAGGGTTAAATCATGGTACTCAAGGGTTAAATCATGGTACTCAAGGGTTAAATCATCGAACTTAAGGGTTAAATCATCCTTCTAAAGAGTTAAATCATCGTCCTCAAGGGGTTAAATCATCGTCCTCAAGGGGTTAAAACATCATCCTCGCGGGGTTAAATCACCGTCCTCATGGGATTAAAACATCGACCTCGCGGGGTTAAATCATCATACTCAGGGTTAAACATCATCCTCGCGGGGTTAAATCACCGTCCTCATGGGATTTAAACATCGACCTCGCGGGGTTAAATCATCATACTCAGGGTTAAAACATCATCCTCGCGTTAAATCATCGTCCTCAAGGGTTAAATCATCGACCTTGCGTTAAATCATCATACTCAGGGGTTAAAACATCATCCTCGTGGGGTTAAATCATCGTCCTCAAGGGGTTAACATCATACTCAGTTAACATCATCTCGTTAAATCATCGTCCTCAAGGGTTAAATCATCGTCCTCAAGGTTAAATCATCATACTCAGGGGTTAAACTAGCGAGATGCATCACGCGAGAGTTACACTTGCGACATCTACCATAGACCATTACAGAGTGGGTGTCTGGAGTACCTGACAAGACCTGTGTAGTGGTAGAGGGCTGGGACTGAGACGATATGTCGGATATGTGAGAAGGTTTACAAATGGTAAAAGAAAGAGGAGGAGGAGGAGGAGATGGAGGAAGATGGTGGGGAAAGAGGAAGAGAAGGATTATATTGGTATGAGGAGGTAAGGGAGTAGGTTGGGAGTAGAGAGGAGGAGAGAGATCAAAGGGTATATTGATGTCTTATGTTATGCACTGATACTTCTCTCTCCCCTTCACCGCAGTACTTTCACCACACGATTAATTTCAACAACACTGACTGACTGACTGACACACACACACACCCACACACACACACACACACACACACACACACACACACACACACACACACACACACACACACACACACACACACACACACACACACACACACACACACACACACACACACATACACACACACACACACACACACACACACACACACACACACACACACACACACACACACACACACACACACACACAACACACACACACACACACACACACACACACACACACACACACACACACACACACACACACACACACACACTCACACACACACACACACATTAATGATTATCCATTGAGTACACAATACACAGAAATCACAGAAGGTCTATATTTCAGCTCTCCTATCTCCTCTTTCTCCTTTCCCCTCCTTCCTTACCTCTCCCTCCCTCCTTCCTCTCCTCCTCTCTCCTTCCTCACCTCCCAGTCTCCTTCCTTACCTCCCTCCTTCCTTCCTCACCTTCCTCCTTCCTCTCCTCCCTCTCCTCTCCTCACCTCCCACTCTCCTTCCCTCACCTCCTCCCTCCTCCCCACCTTCCTCTCTCCTCCTCACCCTCCCTCCCTCCTTCCTCACCTTCCTCCTTCCCTCCTCCTTCCTCACCTCCTCTCCTTCCTCACCTCCTCCTCCCTCTCCTCACCTCCCTCTCTCCTTCCTCAACCTCCCTCCCTCCTTCCCCTCACCCTCTCTCTCCTTCCCTCACCTCCCTCCCCTCCCTTCCCTCACCTTCCTCTCCTTCCTCACCTCCCTCTCTCCTTCCTTACCTCCTCACCCCTCTCTCCTTCCCACCTCCCCTCCTCCCCCTCTCCTTCCCTCACCCTCCTTCCTCTCCCTTCCTCACCTTCCCCCTCCTCTCCCTCACCTCCCTCTCTCTCCCTTCCTCACCTCCCTCCCCTTCCTCACACCTCCCTCTCCTTCCTCCCCTCCCTCCTTCCTCACCTCCCCCCTCCTCTTCCCTCACCTCCCTCTCTCCTTCCTCACCTCCCCTCTCTCCTCTCTCTCCCTTCCTTCCTCACCTCCCTCTCTCCTTCCTCACCTCCCTCTCTCCTCTCCTCCTCCCCCTTTCCCTTCCTCTCCTCCCTCCTCCCTCTCTCCTTCTCACCTCCCCTCTCTCCTTCCTCCTCCCCTCTCTCCTCTCTCTCCCCTTCTCCTTCCTCACCTCCCTCTCCTCCTCTCTCCCTTCCTCACCTCCCCTCTCTCCTTCCTCACCTCCCCTCTCCTTCCTCACCTCCCTCTCCTTCCTCCTCTCTCTCCTTCTCTCTCTCCCTTCTCCCCTCCCCTCTCTCCCTCTCTCCTTCCTCACCTCCCTCTCTCCTCTTCTCCTCCCCTTTCCCTTCTCCTCCCACCTCCCTCTCCTCCCCTCTCCTTCCTCACCTCCCTCTCTCCTTCCTCACCTCCCTCTCTCCTTCTCTCTCTCCCCTCTCCCTTCCCTCTCCTCCCTCTCTCCTTCCTCACCTCCCCTCTCTCCTGCTCTACTCTCCCCCTTATCCCTTCTCCCCACCTCCCTCTCCTCCCTCTCTCCTTCCTCCCTCCCTCTCTCCTTCCTCTCCCCTCCCCCTCTCTCCTCCTCTCTCCCTTATCCTTCCTCTCCTCCCTCTCTCCTTCCCTCACCTCCCTCTCTCCTGCTCTACTCCCTTATCCCTTCCTCCCTCCCTCCCTCCCTCTCTCCTTCCTCCCCTCTCTCCTTCCCCTCCCCCTCCCCTCTCTCTCTCTATCTCCCCTTATCCTTCCCCACCTCCCTCTCCTCCCTCTCCTTCCTCCTCCTCCCTCTCTTCCTCACCTCCTCTCTCCTTCCTCCTCCCTCTCTCCTTCCTCCACCTCCCTCTCTCCTGCTCTCTCCCTTATCCCTTCTCCTCCCTCTCCCTTCCTCCCCCCTCCCTCTCTCTGCTTCCTCTCCCCTTCCCTTCCTCACCTTCCTCTCCTCCCTCTCTCTCCTTCCCCACCTCCCTCTCTCCTTCCTCACCTCCCCTCTCTCCCTGCTCTACTCTCCCCTTATCCCCTTCCTCACCTCCCTCTCTCCTTCCTCACCTCCCCTCTCTCCTGCTCTACTCTCCCCATTTCCCTTCCTCACCTCCCCTCTCCTCCCTCTCTCCCCTTCCCTCCCCACCTCCCTCTCTCTTCCTCCCTCCCCTCTCCTGCTCTACTCTCCCCCCGTTCTCCCTTCCTCTCTCCTCCCTCTCTCCTTCCTCACCTCCTCTCTCCTCTCTATCTCCCATTATCCCTTCCTCACCTCCCCTCTCCTCCCCTCTCTCCCCTTCCCTCACCTCCCCTCTCTCCTTCCTCTCCTCCCCTCTCTCTCTCTCTCTCCCCCATTATCCCTTCTCCCCTCCCTCTCCTCCCTCTCTCCTTCCTCCACCTCCCTCTCTCCTTCCTCCCTCCTCTCCTCTCTTCTCCCCTTATCCCTTCCTCACCTCCTCTC